ACAGAATAAAAACCTTTATAGATCTTTGGTATATATGTTGCAGTAAAGTAGAAATGAAAATAGGACTAGGCCTGCTTAAGGTGGATTTTCAATGTCGAACTAGGATCTATAGGATGGTAGATATCTGTTTAAAATAAGGAAGGCTGTACAAACTAATAGAGTGCTCTGGAATTAATTTTTTTAAAAGCCCCTCAAGATTTTGAGTTTGCCTTTGAATGTTTAAGAACAGGTTAGATAAATAGAGATTGGTCATTTGTTAGTGGAAAGTTGTATTACTTTTCTATTGTATGTCATGAATTATCACAAACTTAGTGATTTAAAAGAAAACACCTACCCATTTATTAGAGAACAGTTCTGTAGGTCAGAGTCCTACTGGTGTGCTATGCCTGGATTCTCAGAGTCTTACAAAGTCTCACAAGGTCAAATCAAGTTTCCATGGGGAGAATTCTCATGTGGGGTGAAGGTTCTCTTCCAAGCTAATATGGTTGTGGCAGAATTCAATTTCTTACAGTTGTAGAACTGAGATCCCCAATTCCTGGCTGGCTTCTGGCCAAGGACTGTCTAGCTCCTAGAGAGGTCCTGAATTCTTTGTCAGGTGGTCCCTTCCTTCAAAGCCAGGAGTTGAGAAATATTTGTACATTGAATCTAATCTCTTGCTTAAAATACTTCCTCTTTGGTAACTAGCCCCCCAAAAAACCAAAAACCAAAAAAAACTCTCTGCTTTTAAAGGACTCGTTATAAAATCAGGGCCTTTGGATAATCTCTATTTTATTTTAATAAATTTTATTTTAGTCTTTATTTTTTAAGTATTTATTTACTTATTTGCCTGTGCCAGGTCTTAGTTGTGACATGTGGAATCTAGTTTCCTGACCAGGGATTGAACCCAAGTCCTTTGCCCTGAGAGAGCAGAGTCTTAGCCACTGGACCACCAGGGAAGTCCCCTCTCCTTATTTTAAAGTAAACCAATTTGGATTCTTAAGTATAGCTGCAAAATTTTTTGCATCAGCGCCTATATCAGTGTTTGGTTGAAAAACTGGAAGAAGGCATAGAAGAACGAGAAAGTGACACTCAGTAATATCCGACTCTTTGCAAACCCATGGACTGTAGCCTACCAGGCTCCTCCGTCCGTGGGATTCTCCAGGCAAGAACACTGAAGTGGGCTGCCATTTCCTTCTTCAGGGGATCTTTCCCATTCAGGGATCAAATCTGGGTCTCCTGCATTGCAGGCAGATGCTCTGCCATCTGGGCCACCAGGGAAGCCTGGAAGAAGGTGTATGTCCTGAAATTCTTAGGGAGATGTGCCTCCATAAAGGTCAGACATAAAAGTCAGGTTGATGGAGATCATCTCTGAGCTGCCATCAAATTCTGATTCTGTGATCTTCTGATTCATCTGCCTGGTCTATGGATTCTACCACCAAAATAGAACTGAAAATTCACTTTTCTCCTATCACTACCATCTTATTTGGAAATGGCAACCCACTCCAGTATTCTTGCCTGGAGAATCCCATGGACAGAGGAGCCTGGTAGGCTACAGTCCATGGGATCACAAAGAGTCGGACATGACTGAGCGACTTCACTTTCACTTTCACTTCCACTATCTTATTTCTTCTTTGCTGAACAAATCAAATGGTCTATGAATTTGTCCCTTTACCTATTTGCGAGTATGACTGGATTTGAAAAAAATGTACTTCTGAACATCTCATTCTCACAGCCTGATATAGCTTTCTATTGCTGGACAAGCGATCTATAATCTTGGGACATAGTATGTCCCCAGACTCTCTTTGTTATTGCCAATGTGAATTATAAGCCATAGTCAAACTTGATTTAGATCACGTTACCCTCCTCTTCTTGAATCTCTGCCTTTATAGTTAGTGAAATCTTCTCTGTTCATATGCAACCTTTCCTCTTAAAATTTTTTCTGAACCCCCAAATCAGTCAGGTTTCTTTGCTTTGTGTTAGAGTAGTTTGAAAATGTATCTTCTCATCAAGTGGTCTGAATTAAAATTTAGTGGCTGAAGGATTTCAATAAATAATAAATTCTACTTTTTAGCCAATTATGAATTATGGATTCTTTCTCTGCAAAGTTACGTTTTCCTTAAAAATAACTTTTTCTCTAATTGCTCTTATACATAACTAAACATACAAGAGGGAGTGTGCTGTAAGTAGTTTAGTAAGTATTCTGTTTGTAAGGCTACTTTTTAGAGGTTAATGTTCGATTAAATACAGTAAGATATGATAAAAATTATTAAATATTTGAAAACAGGCTAATTGCATATGATCATATAGCTTTAAGTAATCTACCATTTGTTTTCTATTGCATTAGACTTTTTCTTCTCTTCCAGGTTTGTGTGTACTCAGTCGCTTAGTCACGTCCAACTCTGCTATCCCACGGATAGCCTGCCAGGCTCCTCTGTCCATGGCATTTCTGAGGCAAGAATCCTAGAGTTGGTTGCTATATCCTTCTCCAGGAGATCTTCCTGATCCAGAGCGCAAACCCATGTCTCCTGTGTCTCCTGCATTGGGTTCTTTACTACTAAACCACCTGAGAAACCCCTTTTCAGATTTAGGCAATATTAATATATAATCTATAGGTCTATAAAACAAATAGAAATAAATATGAAGTTTGAGGCTTTGCCTGTGCAGGATGATAATATCAACTATTCCAGTTTGTATCTTTAAAAAAAAAGAAAAAACACTTTTTTGACTTTTATTTGACAAACTTGACCAAATTGATTTGCTGTTTTTGAGCCATGGAAATGAGTTGTGATGTACTATTGGATAAGACAATTAAATGCAGATTGACTTGGCTATTTACTAAATTTTTTAATGTTGCTATAGCTATTTGTGGGATTGACTTGTGTAATACAATTAATATTCACATTAAAAAAATTATAGATAATGCTGTAAAAATTAAAGAGAAAATTCAAATTTTTTTAACTCAAGTCCAGACCTCTGTACAGAACTCCAGACTCATGCATACATCTATTATTTGACCTCTCTGGGTATCTGAGAGGCAATTCAAAGTTAACATGTTCAAAAGAAATCCTTCGTCTTACTCTGCACAGCTTACTTCTTGTACAGTCATCCCTTTCTTGGTTAACTGTGACTGTATCTTTCTTTTTGCACCTGAAGACCTTAGAGCTTTCCTCCACTCCTCTCTCTCTCTCTTATACCTCATGTGTCACGTGTCAGCAAATCCTGTCAGCTCTCCTTCAAATTATATTCAGAGTCTGAATACTTCATTTCTGCTGCTGCAATTCTGCTCCAGGCCATCATGATCTCTTATGTTGACACTGCAATAGCTCACTGATTACTCTGTTTTCACCCTCTCTCCCTTGTCCATTCTAAACAAAACAGCTAGAATGATTCTGTGAAAATGTATGCCAAGTGAGTCATACCAGTGTTCTACACTTGGTCATATACAATCTAGTTTTCAGTGTTTCTTTTCAGATCTCACCTCCTACTAGCCCACTGGCCTATTTTTAACTCTTCAAATATTACCAGGCATGATTCCAACCTAGGAGTGTCATCATGCATTTCCCTCTGCTGGGAATGTTCTTCCTCAAAATATTCACATGGTTAGCTTCCCTACCTTCATCAGGAACTTCATGTCTCCTCATCAGTGAGGCTTTCTCTCTGACTACTCAGCTTAAAATTTCACTGTCCTTGGGAACTCTTCTTCCCTTTCTTATTTTTTTCCATAATAGTAATCATCATGCAGGCTTCCCTGGTGACTTAGTGGTAAAGAATCCTCCTGCCAATGCAGGAGATATAGGTTTGATCTCTGGGTCAGGAAGATCTCCTGGAGAGGAAAATGGCAACCCACTCTAGTACTCTTCCCTGGGAAATCCCACAGACAGAGAAGCCTGGTGGGCTACAGTCCATGGGGTCACAAAGAGTCAGATACAACTTAGACACTGAGCACACACGCATGCACTCATCATGCAAGATACCGTTGGGCATCTTTGGTGGGGGAATTTACTGAAATCTGAATATGATATGTTTAGGAATGCATGAGTTTTTAATGAATAATTTTCTAACTCATTTTTTAATTTTATCTTTGATGTGCATATTAACATAATGTTTTTATGAATAGTGTAATTTTCATACAAATCCCTGTTTTCATCTTCCCTATCTCAGTCTTCTTAGCAAAGGTCCTTGCACACATGCAAGGATAGGCATGGTTGAAGAAAGTGCTCATATCACTTAAGTCATTGTTCTTTTATATTTCCAACTATAATACACTTAAATTACTTGTCTAATAAGTGGCTACTTCTTGAAAACAAAACATAAGCCTGTGTATTTTGATTTCCTAATACCAACTCAAGAGCCTGACACATAGTGTGCGTATAGCGAACCAGTAGATAATGTGAAATCTGAATAATGATCCCAAGTAGGACCATATGATTGTAGGTGATACCTTATTCTGTGTGTTAATGTCAGTGTGGCTGATGATGTTCTAGAAAGAGTTTTACTAATTTTAAATATGTGCAAAATAAAATAAAAATTACCCAATTATATAAATTATTAATTCAGTCAATAATGTTCATTTAAATTATTTTATAATCAGTATTTACTGTAACATGTGCTTATATCTATCTAGTCATTTAAGTATAAGAATGTCTTTCTTGGGAATTGAATATTAAAACTCAGACCGTACCTCTGAAAATACATAGGATTATATAAGCATGCAATTTTCCTTTGTGCCAGTGTTTAACTTACCTTATGAGCACCTTGTGAGTAAACTTGGGACCAAATTAGGAATAAAAATATCACAATTGTTTTGTCCCCTAACCCTTAGAATCATTGTTCTCTGAAGCATTACCTTTCCCCTTAAGTTTCTGCTCATTAAATGTGGGCGTATTAATCTAAGGGCAGTTGTAATAAGAGATCACCACTATGTGCATAGTAAAAAAATATTTGTAAATCCTGTTTCTTCATCCCATTTACACAGTGTTCAGTAATTCTAATTGTTTTCATTTTTTCCCTTTAATTTTTAGTTCCCAGTGTTCCCATGAATATTGCTTTTTCTGATGTTCAGTCAACTAGTGCAACATTGACATGGATGAGACCTGACTCTATCTTTGGCTATTTCCAAAACTACAAGATTACCACTCAACTTCGGGCTAAAAAATGCAGAGAATGGGACTCTGAAGAATGTGTTGAACATCAAAAAATTCAGTACCTCTATGAAGCTGACCTAACTGAAGAGACAGTCTATGAATTGAAGAAATTTAGATGGTATAGATTCCAAGTGGCTGCCAGCACCAATGCTGGCTATGGCAATGCTTCAAATTGGATATCTACCCAAACCCTGCCTGGTCGTAAGTATCGTCCTGTGTATGTCTGTATATATAATTTTGGATTCAAGAAAAAGCTCTTTAAATGTTTTTCTATAGAAGTCATTCAGAATATAGGTAAAGATTGCTTTTGTTACTTTAGTTTTATATTTTAAAATTAACTGGTTGGCCTACTTGCTTAAATAACATCATCACCATCATAGCATTTAATTTTTATTGAATTGACTCTTAATGGGAAGTTCAATTTCAGTCACTATTTAGGGCTTTTCTCAAACTGCCGAATTGCATCAAGGTCATAGAGTCTTACATTGCAACAAAGCATTATGGTCTTCTCTGTGGTTTCTCATCAGGCTGTACTGATGGCCACTGAGTACCCTTTGGCTTTGCCTACATTTCCCCTTCATATCTGGAAGCTCTGCGGCTTTTAAGTCAGGCTTTACCACCTTGTCAGTGATTGTAGGCTTATGTGCGCGCGTGCACGCGCACACACACACACACACACACTCACACATTCATACACACGCACGTGGAATTTCATTGATGCTATTGTAGATCTTTATAAATAGTGAAATAAACTTTGATCCAGAGCTTTTATTTTTTTATTTTTTCACATTTAGTGAAATGTTTCTCTTGCTACTATTCCCAAGGGTACCTAGAATAATGTTTGTATGGTAAATATTCAATGAACGCTTGTTAATGCAATTAAGCATTTGTGATAGAATCCAGACACCTCTGCCTTCAGTGCGAGTGTCCACCCTCTCCTCTGTGGCCCGTGGACTCGGTTTCTGTAAGGTCTGCCCGCTGGCTTTTCTCTTACCTCTCTGATAGCTCTTTCTCAGTGTCCTTTGCTTATTCTGTCTCTTTGTCATTTTTCAAATCTGTGTTGGAGTGTTCAAAGATACATAGTTGGCCCTTTTCTTTACCAATGCATAATACCTAGGAGATCTTTTCTTAAGAGACTTTATCCTGTCTGATAGCTTTAAAGTCTCCTTATATAGTGATCATTCTCAATATCTATTTCTAGGTCTGACTGCTCCCTAGAACCCAATCAGTGTATGTACCTGATGAACTGACATCATTGGGCAGATGTGTCTAATATCCTCTCAAAATTAACATGGTCTAAACACTAAGCCTTCTCAGCATCCAAATATAGAAAAAGAATCTTGCACTGTTCTTTCCCTCCTCTACTCTGCTAATGACTTAGTTTTACCATGCTGTCTAAGCACATCCCTCCCTTTGCATTACTATTAGTCCCGTCCTTCTTCACTGCTACAACTGCCTTAACCTAACTGACCTCCTTGGCTTTCAGACTCATCTTTTAAAATGTAAATCAGATGATGTCACTTCCTTGTATAAAGCTTTTCAATGAATCTCCATTACTCTTGGAATACAATTCCAATTTCCTAACATGTTTAACAAAGCCCTTATGTGACTTGACTATTACCTCTCTAACCTCATCCTTTATCATTTCCCCATTACCCATTATCCTCCACTCATACTGGATAATTTTTGTGTTGCTTGAACACACTGAAGTCCTAGAACTTGGGGCTTTGCATGCCCTGTTCCTTTGCATTGGAATGCTTTTCTGTGTCCATCTTTGCATGAGCAGCTTTTTATAATGTATACTTCTGCTTGAAAGATTCCTACTCAGAATGAATTTCCCTGACTACCCGATCTAAAAAAGCTATGCAGTATATTTCAAGAATATCATCTTAATGAAAATGTGTAATTACCTGATCACTTGTATTTTTATGTATTTGCTTATTTTTAGAATTTGTCTTGATCATTACTATTTCCTTGTTGCCTAGCAACAGTAGGCACTCCATAAATATCTCCTGAAGGAGTTAAACTTGATTGAATAAGCTAAAATGGATGAGGGAGCATGAACTGTTTTCCAAAATAACATGTTTAACAAAGCCCTTATGTGACTTGACTATTACCTCTCTAACCTCATCCTTTATCATTTCCCCATTACCCATTATCCTCCACTCATACTGGATAATTTTTGTGTTGCTTGAACACACTGAAGTCCTAGAACTTGGGGCTTTGCATGCCCTGTTCCTTTGCATTGGAATGCTTTTCTGTGTCCATTTTTGCATGAGCAGATTTTTATAATGTATACTTCTGCTTGAATGATTCCTAGTCAGAATGAATTTCCCTGACTACCCGATCGAAAAAAGCTATGCAGTATATTTCAAGACTATCATCTTAATGAAAATGTGTAATTACCTGATCACTTTTATTTTTATGTATTTGCTTATTTTTAGAATTTGTCTTGATCATTACTATTTCCTTGTTGCCTAGCAACAGTAGGCACTCCATAAATATCTCCTGAAGGAGTTAAACTTGATTGAATAAGCTAAAATGGATGAGGGAGCATGAACTGTTTTCCAAAGCAGGGAATAGAGAGGATGACAGTGCCATAAACAAAGAAAAGGAAAATATGGAAAAAATCAAGTTCAAGCTGTTTAGTCAATAAGTATAGTTATGTTTACTCTGTTAACTTGAGAAGAAATAACTCTTACAATCTAAGTGACTAGAAAATAGAAAGAAACAGGTGCTTAGAGATTAGAACATGGGTAAAGTTAGGAATTTTTGTTGCTTCAGCCAATAACAATGATCAGAATTGCAAGTGAGAGAAAATGGGACACTGAATTAATACATGTTAAAATCACAGGAACAACTGTTACTGAAGACATCATACAGGTACCATAATGAATGAAGCAGACTGCTGATGCACGGTGGTTGAGAGAGGTGAACACCATGGCAAATTAACAAAATGTGCTGCCTATGGGGCAACCACTTCTCACCCCTGGCTGATTCCTGTCTTACAGAGAAGTCATGCTATTAGGATGTAGGATGTGTTCAGAGAAATAGGAAAGCTAAATTTTTTATGATGAAAATACTCAACTTCTTGTTGTAACAAGTTGTTTTAAATTTAATAACTTTCAGTTTTTCATGTCAGACATGTCAGTAGTCCAAATCCAGCCTGTGGGCAGCTAATTTGCTACCTTTGGTTAAAATGGGCTTCCCTGGGGGCTCAGATAGTAAAGGATCTACCTGCAATGCAAGAGACCTGAGTTCGAGCCCTGGGCTGGGAAGATTCCCTGGAGAAGGGAATGGCTACCCACCCCAGTATTCTTGTCTGGAGAAGTCCGTGGACAGAGGAGCCTGGTGGGCTCCATAGGTCGCAAAGAGTCGGGCACGATTGGGTGACTCACACTTCATGTTACTTACTTTGGCTAAAATCGACTGTATGCCTGGCCTGTTCATCTGCTGCCACTGAGGCTTCCCGCCCTCCTCCTCCTGAGCATCTCACTTGGATAGTAGCTGCTTCTTCCTCCTACAGCGAGCCAGGAATTGGAGTTTCTAAACGCCTCATCTCCTTGAGCTCTCTAGACAGGGTGGTAGTAGATGTTCGGTTAGCACTAAACAACTTACCTGATCAATTCACAAGCTGGTAAAGGAAACTAGGAAGTTGGATTTTTTACGGAGCCCCACATTCTTTTTTTTTTTTTTAAGTTACATGCTTTAAAATTTTTTTAATTTTTATGATTTTATTTCTTAATTTATTTGGGGCTGTGCTGGGTCTTCATTGCCGTGCAGGATTCTTTTCTCTAGTTGCAGCAAGCAGGGCCTACTCTCTGGTCAGGGTGCAGGGGCTCCTCATCGCGGTGGCCTCTTGGTTGCGGGGCACGGGCTCCGGGGCGTGCAGGCTCCAGTAGTTGTTGCACATGGGCTCAGTAGTTGCAGCTCCTGGGCACTAGAGCACCTTCAGTAGTTGTGGCGAATGGGCTGGGTTGCTCTGAGGGATTTTCCTGGATCAGGGATTGAACCTGGGTCTCCTGCATTGACAGGTGAGAACCCCACATTCTTAATTCTGAAAATTTGGGAGTCTTTCCACTTGAGTGTCATTGCTTCTACCAGAATCCCTTCTCTCCCTCTCCACCCTTAAGGTCTATGACCCACTCACTAGAATTGGGTCATTTTCAGTTCTCTGCTATGCTACTTTGCTCATTCTGGTCTAAAAGAATGGTGGTAGACTACTTCAAATATTTTGCAATTAGTGTGAGCTTTTTTTTTTTAAATAGCAGTAATTTTCTCATTTTATTAGGATGTATTCCTTTGCCATTGGTGATTGGTTGATTAGTTTGTCGGTTCTTGATGCGTTGGAGAGGATGATCTTGGCTTTTTTTTCACTCTAGCTCCCAGATCTTTACTTGATGACTAATCCAAAGAGTACCTTTGTGTGGAGTAGCAGTGTGAATTTTATCTGACACTTTTCCTCTCCCTTAGTCTAGTGTCTCATTGCCACAATTTAAATTCTCCATCAGAGAATAACTGGCTGTGAAAAATACTAATAGATTAATAGTTAAGTAGACTTTCTATACTACTTTCATCCCCTTTTTCTTTATTCTTAAAAACTAATTTTCTACTCAGTTTGTCAATAAAATAGAAAAGAGAATACAGTTGTGTTTCTACCACTGTGATTAAGAGAGAAAAGTGAAAAGATTAATATATTTCAGAATTTGTGACAACAGACATATTATTTTTCTTGGCATTCTCAAACTAACTAGCTTTTCATCTGAGTATTCATATGGGGATGGGAAAAATAAATTAGTTTTGAAAGTTATAAGAATGAGTTGGTCACTCTTCATTTAGTTTCATAAATGAAGTAAACATTTTTCTAATGATAAAAGAATTTTACTTACAGTAAAAAATGTGTTATTATATTAAGCCAAGGAGAGATACTCTGAGGTGGCATTTGATATGAAAGATGAAAATACACCATATATATCATTACAAGACAGTATATATAGTGAGCTAACATATGTATAAGAAAAGAGAAATTAGAATAGTCAGGCATTTTTAAGATTAAATAAGTAAGGATTAGATGTTGATTCTGCATACCAAAGTTGAAAAGCATTACAGACATTTTAAAAACATAAAAGGTAATCTAGATGAAGAAATGTATTATGTATTTCATCTGTCATTGATTCAAAAAAGTATTATATCATTTTATA